TCGAAGCAGAAGACGCAAGGACGGCAACTGTTACAATCGTACTTGATGTACAGCGTCGGTTTTACGATTGCCATTTCAAACTAGAAATAAGTAATAAAGATTACGTAAAGACTTTAAAATACATTTCGTCTCTATTCCAAGATAGTAAATGACTTTAGTATGACGCATATCATGTGTGGGAAAAAGAAGAAGTTGGCAAGAGCGCAGACTTTCGTTCAGCCTTCCAATGTCGACACCCTTAGCTTCGCGCAGGCAGCAGGCAGTTTGTTATCTTAGATTTGAATGGAAATGCAAGGGCTTTTCAAGAACAAAACTCGCAGTGATAGACCGTTCAGTGACTGAATTTTGACAATCCATTCTCGGATATCGAGCGAATTCTTTGAATAGCTGTTTGTAGGGAATTTCCTCTCGGTACCGTGCGCAGCCTGCGTAGCAACACATACACAGCAGCAGCCGCCGCCGCCGAGCGCCGAGCTCGTCAGTCGTCGTTTCTCGTTGCGCAGGTTTGGTTGGACGTTTCTGTGTTGGAGGTTACTTTGTTTTCGTCCGTCTTTTACGTGCCGGGTTTGTTGGCTGCGGTACCTGATTTTGTGCAGCTACTAGCGTGTCCCAGCACTTACAGCGTCTTCTGCACGTACTTGCAGCTCCATCTCGGTGAGTCAACCACTGACAGGCTTATATCTTTACCATTATGAGGATCATAACCCAATTAACTACTGTCATCTTTTGATTGTATTCGTCAGAAATTGTCCCATCCTTGTGACGTTGCCCCTGTGATGTATTTTAGTTGACAGTGTGTAGCACTATTTGGGACCTGTCACGGTTTATTTTTATTTAAATGGTAATACTCTGCCAATGTCAATGTTTATCCATTGTAAACAATCCGATTTAATTTCAATTCCGCATAAAATTTAGTAATTATCCTTGCAGTTATCCATGACCATTAATAAATATACTGTTCTCAAATTAAAAAACCGGCCAGTTTGGAATTAAGTGTTTTAAAAGCCACCTCACAATGTTTTCTGTTCAGGAGTAGGTCATTGGTAATTTTTCAGTTACTTTTCAAAATTTAGAGGTTTTGTTGTTTTATGTTAGTTCCCTTGACTTCTAACGACTCTCCAAAGAGGAAAAGACTGATAAGAAAGTGAAATTGTGGGAGTTTTGTGAAATTATCTGTGATTTTTATGCTGATATTTTTCTAAAGGGAAAGATTTTGTTTGACCGTGTTTGCTTTGCTAGTGTCTCTTGCAGTCTTTGAAATGTTTGTAGCACCTAGAGCATAATGAACAAATGAAATCTCAGTAGTTCTGCTATAGCTTAAAATCATCACACTAAAACGCCACACACAATCAGTAATATACATATTTTGAGACTGGGCCTGCATCATGAAATGAATTGTCTCCCTCTTCCCCTTTTTATTTTTTGACTGTGTGCGTAGGCGTCCCGCCCCCTCGATGGCTGTCGACGCAGTGAGGCGTGGACTGTGCGCGTGTGTCTTATGGTCTCGGTACCGCAATGATGGTTCTCTCTTGGCCTCACCTGCTCATGCTCGAACTTATGGGGACTCTAGTGTGGGTCAGCGGTGGTCACTCTCGCTGTCCACTGCCTCCGACTCGCCTCGCGGGCGCTCCCGGTTTGAGTCTAGGACTCTACTCCCGGTGAGGTCCGTGTATTGAGGACGAGGACCCACCATACATATGGGTTCGGGCGCTGGCGCGTCGCAGGGTAGGCCAGCCCGCAGGACCAGTCCGTCCGGCGGGTTGCCTACCCGAGGCTCTCACGGCTGACGAGACCTGATCTGCACGGAACGGTCACTTTTGTCGTCACATTCACGCCTCCGGTCACCGAAAAAGACGGAAAAGGTGGCCCCCAAAATTATCATTTCATAGTTGCGCACTTTATTTGCTTTTTGGCCGATCTGAAGCCCCCCCCCCTCCCCTCTTCCGCTCCCGAGCCGTTTGCTACAGTGCATTACTGCTTCACCGAGTGAACAATCCGGCTCGGAAGCGGAGTGCGGCCGTACCCGCAGCTGTGTTGTGTTTGGTTGTTGCTATCCGGCCCTTGTTGCCCCCCACCCCCCATTCCTTTCACCCCTCCCGAACTCCCCTTACTCCTCATATGCCAAGCACACCCATCCATCAGTGACCACCTAAAACAAGCAAGACCTTGAAATACGGACGAAAAAGAGAGGGTGGAAAACCTAAATCCGCTACCCGCTATCGCGATATGTTTCTATCGCGATAGTGACACACGCAGTCCGTACGTCTAACTAACTGCGCCCCGGGCCCCGGCTTCGCGATTGCGATCGTTGTTCGGATGCGATGCGACCGTCGCCGGAGCGTCTCCC